GAACAGGTCTCGGAAACCTTTAGAGAGAGAGGAGGGTTATGATATCAAATTTACTATAATTTCCTCTTTAAAACCATAACCCTATCGAACAGTGTCTTGGAGGAGGGGCCATTATGATATCAAATTTACTAAATAACATTTCTTTTTTTTTTTTGGAGTGAGAGGGCCATTTTTAAAACCATAACCATCTATCGAACAGGTGTCGGCAACCTTTTTTTGAGTGAGAGGGCCATGCAGTGTCTTGGAGGAGGGCTATGATATCAAATTTACTATAATTTCCTTTTAAATAACATCACCTCTTTCGAACAGGTCTCGGAAACCTTTTTTGAGAGAGAGGGCCATGCAGTGTCTTGGAGGAGGACTATGATATCAAATTTACTATTATTTCCTCTTTAAATAACATCACCCTTTCGAACAGGTCTCGAAATCTTTTTTAGTGAGAGGGCCATGGATATCAAATTTACTATAAATTTCCTCTTTAAAAAACATCACCCTTTCGAACAGGTCTGGAGGAGGGCCATGGTGTCTTGGAGGCGACTCAAATTTACTATAATTTCCTCTTTAATTAACATCACCCTTTCGAATAGGTCTCGGCAACCTTTGGAGAGAGAGGGCCATGCAGTGTCTTGGAGGAGGGTTATGATATCAAATTTACTATAATTTCCTCTTTAAAAACCATAACCCTATCTCGAACAGGTGTCGGCAACTTGGAGGAGGGCTATTCATATCAAATTTACTATAATTTCCTCTTTAAATAACATCACACTTTCGGGTGTCGGCAACCTTTTGATGAGAGTGTGTCTTGGGGAGGGCTATGATATCAAATTTACTATAATAATTTAACATCACACTTTCTTTAAATAACATCAAATTTACCTTTTCCTCTTTAAAAAACATCACACTTTCGAACAGATTGCAGTTCTTGGAGGAGGGCAGTGTCTTGGAGGAGGGCTATGATATCAATACTATAATTTCCTTTTAAATAACATCACCCTTTCGAACAGGTCTCGAAACCTTTTTGGAGTGAGAGGGCCATGCAGTGTCTTGGGGGAGGGCTATGATATCAAATTTACTATAATTTCCTCTTTAAATAACATCACCCTTTTTGGAGAACGATTCTCTTGGAGGCAACCTTTTTGGGAGTAAGAGGGTCTCGTCTTTTTGGAGTGAGAGGGCAATTCTTGAGGAGGACTGCAAATGTCTTTTAAATAACAGGACTACAGATATCAAATTTTTTTTACTATCTTGGAATTTCCTCTTTAATTAAAAAACATCCCTTTCCTTTCGAACAGGTCTCTTGGGGGAGGGCTATGATAAACCTTTGGAGAGAACCTTTTTTTTTGAGTGAGAATGGGCCTTGGGGGATGCAAATTTAGTGTCTTGGAGGGGTGTCTTGGAGGAGGATGATATCAAATTTACTATAATTTCCTCTTTAAAAAAACATCACCCTTCGATAAACCTATCGAACAGGTGTCGGCAAATTTAAAATAATTTCCTTTTTTGGAGTGAGAGGGCCATGCAGTGTCTTGGAGGAGGGCTATGATATCAAATTTACTATAATATCCTCATTAAATAACATCACACTTTCGAACAGGTCTCGGCAACCTTTTGGAGTGAGAGGGCCTTGGAGGAGGACTATGCAGTCACCCTTTCGAATGTCTTGGAGGAGAGGGCCATAAAATGATATCAAAATTTACTATAATTTCCTCTTTAAATAACATCACCCTTTCGAACAGGTCTCGGCAACCTTTTGGAAATGAGGGGGCAAATTTACATAATTTCCTCTTTAAAACATAACCCTAGGTGTCTTGGAGAAGGGGCCATGAAGTGTCTTGGGGATCAATCAAATTTACTATAATTTCCTCTTTAAATAAATAACATCAACATTCTCTGGCAACCTTTTTTTTTTTTTTTGAGTGAGAACAGGTGATATCAAATTTACTATAATTTCTTCTTTAAATAACATCACCCTTTCGAACGATTCTCGGTGAGAGGGCCATGCAGTGTCTTGGAGGAGGGCTGTGATATCAAATTTACTATAATTTCCTCTTTAAATAACATCACACTTTCGAACAGGTATCGGCAACCTTTTGGAGTGAGAGAGCCATGCAGTGTCTTGGAGGAGGGCTGTGATATCAAATTTACTATAATTTCCTCTTTAATTAACATCACACTTTCGAACAGGTCTCTTGGAGGGGCTATGATATCAAACCTTTTTGGATTAAATAAGCTCCTGCACTCGTCTTGGAGGAGGGCTATGTATTGGAGGAGGGCTCAAATTTAATTATTTTAACATCACCCGTTCGAACAGGTCTCGGCAACCTTTTTTGGAATGAGAGGGCCATGCAGTTTGGAGAAGGGCTATTATATCAAATTTACTATAATTTCCTCTTTAAATAACATCACACTTTCGAAAACCATCAAATTTTGATAATTTCCTTTTTAGAACAGGTATCGGCAACCTTTGGGAGAGAGGAATACAGTGTCTTGGAGGAGGGCTGTGATATCAAATTTACTATAAAACGATCTAAAATCGCCATCTCCATTAAAGATGAGGCAAGCTCCTCACCCTTTCGAACAGGTCTCAGCAACCTTGGAGTGGAGCTTATGAGGATATGAAATTTATCAAAAACCATCACCCTTTAGAACAGGTAATTTCTTCTTTAAAAACCAAAACCATAACCCTTTCGAACAGATCTCGGAAACCTTTTGGAGTGAGAGGGCCATGCAGTGCCTTGGAGGAGGGCTATGATATCAAATTTACTATAAGTTCCTCTTTAATTAACATCACCCTTTCGAACAGGTCTCGGCAACCTTTGGAGAGAGAGGGCCATCAAGTGTCTTGGAGGAGGGCTATGATATCAAATTTACTATAATTTCCTCTTTAAAAACCATAACCCTATCGAACAGGTGTCGGCAACCTTTTTTTTTTTGAGAGGGGCCATGAAGTGTCTTGGAGGAGGGCTATGATATCAAATTTACTATAATATCCTCTTTAAATAACATCACCCTTTCGAACAGGGGTCGGCAACCTTTGTGAGTGAGAGGGCCATGCAGTGTCTTGGAGGAGGGCTATGATATCAAATTTACTATAATTTCCTCTTAAAAACCATCACCCTTTCGAACAGGTGTCGGCAACCTTTTGAATTGTGTGTGCTATGCAGTGTCTTGGAGAAGAGCTATGATATCAAATTTACTTTAATAATTTGTCTCGATCCCTGACCGTTACGTCTAGAATACTGCCTTGGTCTGGATGTTTAAAGAAAAACAACGAAGTTTATGTTATATTGAAACAAGTTTCTTCATTTTTTCTATAACAGGATAACAGCCAACACTATAAACAGAAATGCACATTCCTTACTACAAATGGAATGCAGTTAAAATGGCAAATTATTTAATGAGACACTTGTTTCTGCTTGTTGTTCGATAACTTCTCTACATCAGGTGAAATATTTGTCGATGACAGGAGCAAAACATCATCCAGGTGGTCATCACCCAACCTTGTTCGAAAAACGATTTTAGTATATTTCATTTTCGAAAAAGTTGTTCACAAGCATATGTACTTCCAAATAATGATATCATTCAATAGGCTTTTATATTTTCCGCTTGGCAAAATATATTTCTTGTAGAAGTCAGCAGTGAATTCGCAATTATATTTTGGTTTAAAAAATTCGTCGCATTGTAAGTTGATTAACTCCAACTGCACCACAAATTAATTAAATAATTTTGTCGCGGGCCGGATGTACCCAGCAGGCCGAGGGTTGCAGATTCCTACTTTAGAACATAGCTGAACTTCTTTAATCTCTGTAAATTTTAAATTGCCATAACTCGATGTAGTGGCGTGGTTTCCCGTTGCCTTCTAGACTGTTTTGAATTTAGAATTATCCTTTTCCTAGACTGGTTGTCGAACTCGGCATGGGGAAATTCTTCTTCTATATGCCATGTCCATTCAAGATGTGAGCAATCATGGCCCTCCAAAACTTCCTATCCTTTGTTGCTTCTTCGTAAGTTTTGCCTTTTCGTTATCTTACCCAATACCTTTTCCGCCATCCATTTGCACAAGCGAGGTAGCTTATTCGCAGCTTTTCTCTGTTCCACATGTAAATATGTCCTGCAAGTGTTAAACTCTCCAAGCCTCTTTTCTCAACATATTCTAGAAATTTCAACTTTCTTTTTCCGATTTTAAATATAAATGTCCGCTTTGTTTCCATTTTCCTTAAAACTTCCTCATTACTCACATGTTCAGTCTATGGGATTCTCAGCATTGAACCGTAATTCTTTTGCCTCGAATCTGTCTTTTTTGCGAGGAGATTGTCCAGTATTCCTTGCCATAGAGGAGGAATGATATTGCTTAATAGTTTAATATTCTATTCTTTGTTTCTAACTAAGCTTCCCTGTTTCTTAATACTTTGCTTAGTTTTTGGAAAGCATCTTTCTCTGCCACGTTTTTACTGCCCTCTGTTAGACCACTTCCCAGATATTTAAATGTTCGTAAATTCTTGATTTATTTTAGACATATCGCATTTTGGGTTGTTCCTTTTGTTGACAAACACAAATTCTGCTTTCAATTGGTGGATAGTCCTTTCTTCTCGCTTTCCTTTTACTATCATTTGTAGGAGTTCCTGATATTTTCTTTTTATGTCTGCTATTAGAACTACGCCACGAGGAAAACATTATACATTTTTAGCCATACTGCAATTAAAACATGAAATATTTTAGATTTTGCTAAACGTCACTTTGAGAACATATTTTGAACACGTGCGAATATTTCTTCCTTTCTTTCTTTCTTTCTTTCTTCTTATACACAGTCTTTCTTTCTTTTTCTCTCCCTCACTCTCTCTTTCAGTTTTTTTTCTCCTACAAGTATTCCTTCTTTGATTCATAAAATGGGTGATTTTTGAAAATACTTCGAGCTATGTTTTGGATTTTTGTAGTGAAGAGGAAAAATATTCAGCAAAAACGAATCAGTAATTCGATCGATCATTCAATATCATCGATTGATGATATTCTTGTTTCGTTGTTTATTCGGGGTTCCTTCCTTTTTATCAAACTGCCGAAGAAAACCAGATTTTCTTTTACCTCCTCCTTATTCTTTTTCTTTCATTTTCTTTCTTTCGTTTTTTCTTTTTTTTCTTTCTCTTGTTTTTTCTCCCTCGCTTTCATTCTTTCTTTCCTTCTTTCTTTTTGTTTGTTTCTTTCTTTCTTTCACTTGCTTTCTCTCCCACTGTTTCTTTTTCTTTGTTCCTTTTATTTTCCGTTTCTTTTTGTTTTCTCTCCCTCTCTTGCTTTCTTTCTTTTTCTTTCTCTTTTTTACTCTTTCTTTCTTTTGTTTTCCCTGTCTCTTTCTGTCTTTCTTTTGTTCTCTCTCTCTTCCTTCCTTTCTTTCTTTCACTTGTTTTCTCTCCATCTCTTTCTTTTTCTTTCTTTCTCTTGTTTATTCTCACTCTTTTCTTTTGTTTTCTCTGTCTCTTTCTTTCTTTTCTTTTGTTTTCTGTCTTTCTTTCCTTCTTTTGCTCTTTCTCTCTCTCTCTCTCTTTCTTTTCTTTCTGTATTTTTCTTTCTGTCTCTTGTTTTCTCTCCCTCTCTTTCTTTTTTCTTTCTTTCTAAATTGCGAGTGTTGTGTGTAGTTACAAATAGCAGCAGCCCTCATAACATCATCATCACCAACACCATTATCATTGTCCTGATCGTGGTTCCCATCACCATCAAATGTTGCTGTCGAGGTTATTTCCCGTTTTCGCTTTCTCTCCCATCGATTTCTGCGAGCGCGTTGTGACTGTAGTTCGTGGCACACATACACGTGGAATAGACTGATCTGAACAAGTAGTTCCTTCTTGGTCTTGAAGTCATTCTGGACCAGAAACAAAAGTGTGTGTGTAACTGCCAGGCTATTTTCTCCGCCCCCTCTCTTTTTCTTTTTTTTCTCTCTCTTTCTCTCTGGCCTTTTTTTTTTTTTTTGTTACAAATCAGCAAATGCAGTCCACACTCCTGGGATGGCGAACGCACCAGCGGGACCTAAAGGATGGAGAAGGAGTTGTATAGACCAGTGAAAAGCCGTTTGGCAGAGAGAGAGGCTCAGATGTATAACGTCATGCACACTACTTCAGGTAAACTGAATCAAGTTTTGTGTACGATATCTCAAAAAAAAAAAAAAAGATAGGAAAAACAACGTGGTTCACTAAACTAAAACAGTAACACTAGTTATCAATGAATTTGTAGTAGTAGTCCCTGTTGTTGGTAGGATTTTTTTGTTATTAATCCGACTTGTAGATCTGATGGATGAGAGAAGAAAATACACCTCACCATTCTTATCTTAATTAACAAAAAAAATAAAAAATAAACAGTTTTGTCGACGGAGAAAATCTGTTAGACTAGAGATCAGCTCTTCCTTTAGCATTGCAAATTAAAAAGAAAATAAAAATGGTTTTGGACAATTCTGGTCGAAGAATCAGGAATGAAATTTAGTAATTTAGAAATAATATTTTTTGATAGGAAGGAATAATAATGTGAATAATAAAGTAAAAGTAAGTAGTACGTACTTTTACTTACTAATTACAAGGCGGAAATAGAGATGTTGTTATATTATTATGTAATTTCGCAATTTAAACAAACTACCAGTTTTTAAAAAAAAAGATAAATTAAAAAAAGAAGAAAAGACATGAATTTTCCACTAAAATGTAATTTAATTCAATTTTAAATTTAATAAATGCCTATTGTGCTTTAGCTTATTGATGTTAAAAAAAAGTTTTTATGATGCAAAAAAAAGCAAAAAGTAATTGCTAAGTGCGTAGGTACAGTAAGGTCAAGAAAATTCACGAAAATTAAAAAAAAAAATTAAATACATTTCTTAGAAATTAAATATTACTTCAGAAGCTTCTTGATTTTTTAAAAATTTAAAGTTTTAATTCATTAATTTTTTTCATTGTCGTCCCGTTTCTGTAAGCAAAGAGAAATTTACCTTGTTCTCTTTGGGAATTTTTGAGTTGTCATTGTCGACATCATTTTTGCCTTGCTGGAAATAAAATAAAATAAAATAAAGTTAGTAACAAAACAAGAAACAAGCTAAAACAACATTGGAAATATTACGGTTTTTTATTTACTTATTTTTTGTTTACCGGACGGGAGATCAAATATTTTAATTCCGCTTCTCACTTTTTACGTCAAACACCAAAACGTCCGCCACGAACAAATTCCAAATATCTTAGCTTCTTGATCAGATTTTAATGATGATAAAAAAATATTCACCTCCTATCCAGTAACTGTGGGCTGTTTTCTCCGCATTTCTCAATATTGCACTCTCTGTTGTAATTTCCGTCATGAATAAAATGCTACCGGCTCTTTCTCTTGTATATGTATCGTGTCCTCATTGGAGTATCCTGAAAAAATACGCTGGGGTAGGCAAATAACATTGCTATGATCTTAGACAAAAATGAACAATTTTTATGTAAATAAGTAACAAAAAATAAGAAATAAAAATTATCTGAACTTACCGTGATAAACATAGTTCAGTTGAATTCCTTCACAGCTGTTACTGAGTGCCGAAACGCTATACCTACTGCCTGACTTTAATCTTTCCCTAATTTTACTCTACGAGCAGTACTCTCGAAAATGTTACGATTTTCCAATCTGAATTTTCTAATTAATCATAATTCTTAAGTTAATGACCAAATAAGCTCATTGTGAGTTCCACAACTTTAAAATACCCATGGAAAGTTCTTATTGTGTTGCTAAATATTTGAACTTAAAAACTTTAACAAAATATTGTAATAACAACTATAAATATGAATGCGGGGCATTATTTAAAGAAGGGATTACAAATGAAAAAATTGACAAGGTTTTCCATTTCACTGAAGCAGACGTTAAACACATGAGAGCATTATCACTTCCTCTATCTTCCCTTTCTTTCTTTATTAGTATGTATGCTCTCTTTTTCCCACTAAAACCAAACAGTGTTTCTGATATATCTATTTCAGCAAAGTTTAGCCTTCATGCCTGCAATAAAATGGTCTGTCAAAAGGACAGTTTTTTTCCTTAACACCTCTATTATTTTGTACTATATTCACACCTCGGTTTATTGTTTTAAAAAAACTATGATTAAAATTTTAATAAAACCTGAACACATGAAAGTAAATTTATACATTTTCTTTGTTCTTTTAGAATTTATGACAAAAATATTGAGCATCATCTATTTATTAATTTGTATATTGACAAGAATAATTTTATATTTACAACATTCTAAAAATGCGAACCACAAAAATGCCACCCTTAAAAATGCAAACCAATTAATACAATGCAATGTTTATAATTTACAAATTTATAAAGAAATAAATATGAAAACAATTTTTTTATTCATAAATTTATAAAAATTTACTAAATCATAAAAAAATGTGACCCAAATATAATGAACTCTTTATTATTTACCATTTTATAAAGTTTGAATTGATTTGCAATTCATTAATCTTTTGCCAACCATTCCAAAGAATGCAATTTGTTGAAAATTTTGTAGATTTTTATAAACTTTTAAATAAAAAGATTTCCTTTCAATTTCCTTTATAAAATGGTAAATGATAAATATCACATTTTACCTGATTTACATATTTTTACAATGTTGTAAATATTGTTGAGAGAGTCTCGGTAGTTTTAAGTAATAGTGTTGTCAACAAAAAAACTGTCCTTCTGACATAGAGCTTTTTTTCTTTTTTTTTTTTTTTTTGGCACAAACATTAAACTTTGCTAAATGTTCTTTTATCAAAGTACCAGTCAAACTATTTATGCCTTTTCCAAAAGTTAATTTTTTCATTTCTCTGAGTTCTTCAGTAGATGAATTTGTATATATATATATATATATATATATAGTGTAACCCGGATATAAGAGAGTTGTCAGAACCGGAGAAGAAGTCTCTTATATCCGGGTTTCTCTTATATCCGGGTTTGGTCTATTTTATATACATTAACACAGGCTCTAATTTGAGACCAGAGAAAATCTCTCTTATATCCGGGTTTCTCTTATATCCGGGTCTCTTATATTCGGGTTACACTGTATATATAAGTGAACATTGAAGTCAACACAGAGGTGACAGACAGACTGTTTCATGCCACCAGTGGTCTGATGATTGCGTTTAGCATAAAACAGTCTGTCGCCTCTGAGTGTTGACTTTAATGTTCACTTTTATATTTACATAAATTCTATCTCTGATATTGAACACTTATCCCATAATTATAGCATATCTTAAAACTATATTTCTTTATATATATATATATATATATATATATATATATTTGAATAAAAAACAGACCACTTTAAGGTTCTATGTAATAAATTATTTCACCACAGCCCTTTTAAAGGACTCTGGATCATCAGACTACTTCCAAAAGGTTGAAATGAAAATATTAAAACTATACTTTCTTATATATATATGTTAAAACTATAAAGTTTTTTTTATATATATATATATATATATATATATATTTTCAATACTTTCTTATATATATATATATATATATATATATATATATATATATATATTAAAACTATAATCTTATATATATATATATATATATATATATATATTAAAACTATACTTTCTATATATATATATGTTAAAACTATACTTTTTTTTATATATATATATATATATATATATATATATAAAGAAGATTTCATTACATCTTGAAGTAAACCCTTTTCGCCAACACTTTATCAAAAGGTAGATGTTGGCAAATAGAAAAAAATAATGTAGACATAATTGCGGAAATAGCGAATGAAGAGGAGAAACAGAGACATGATTAAAATACATTTTTTTTTAATTGTAAAGAAATTGACAATTAAAAGCAGTTAATAAAAGATTCCAAAAAGAGTATAAAATAGAAAAATATTTTACTCATATTCCCCTGAACAAACATAAGGAATGAATTAAGTGATCCTTCTGCTTATATAGGCGAGGGTGATGAAATCTGATGTATGCAGCCTTGAGAACTCTAAGTTTGTGGACAGAGCGAGCTCTATTTAAAAAAAAGAAAAATGTGTCATTATATTCAGCAGCACAGACTAGATTGTCTAATAAATGTTGCCCAATGGACAAGTTGTGAACAGATTGGGTAGTTCTCAATAGACAACACTGACTACTGGATTGTAAATAAGCAGGCAAGTAATGCGAGTTTCCAACATTTGATTGGTCCTTCCTATATATACTGCATCACAATCGCATTTAAATTTGTATATAACAGAGCTCTTCTGAAAATAGGATAACCAATCTTTATTAAAGCATGGAAACACAGATCTAGTCTAGACAGTATGCAACCTAACTCTGTTATAGCAGAAAGTAATGCAAACTAAAATCTTGTCATCAAGCAACTGGCACTTCCTGTCTAACCATGGCAATTTCAGATAAATTGGTCATTGGCTAGGTCCTAAAACACATTTGTTCTTTAAAACGCCTGATATATATGGCCAAGTGGTTAGAACATTCACTTTCTGACCATGAGACCCAGGTTCAAATCAGACTATGGTCGATTTGTCAGGAAGGAGACTTCTTGATGTTATCAGCCTGTAAAAGTGACCACAGTGTGACACCATTGGAAAGTACCTGAAAAACCATACCACAGGTTAACCCAAGCCTTGCGGGTG